CTCACCAGCCCTCACCCGGAACTCCAGGGAAGGAGAGAGGAATGGGGCTGGCCAGGAACCCAAGGGCAGCCGTGCAAGGTAGCTGGCCGCAGGGTTGGGACCAGGACCTGTATTCCTCGCCCCGTAAGAATAAAGCCTTAGCCTCTGTCGGCTGGGAAAGCCCTCGGGTGATGCCTGTTCCTGCACCCTGCTTCTTCTGCACACTGTTCCCTTCTCTACCGCCTCCGCCTTCACAGGCGGACTTCTCCCTAGGCTGCACGGCTTGAGCATCCCTGACCGTGAATCTAAGGGGCTTCTGTACTTACCCAGCACTCCGAGAGGGTCCCCTTCACCAAGTAGTGACCTAAGCTGGGAAAAGCCTTCGCCTTCATTCTCTCCCACATCCCTATCTCATCGACTTGCTCCTGAAAAGGGGGCTGTGCATTCTTATAACATCTACAGCCAATTAATATTGCATTAACTCTATTTAAAACACATACACACACACACACACACACACACAAGCACAAGAATACTGCACCCTATCAAAGCCATCTATTATTCACGGAAATGTAATTGGAGACCTAAAATATGTGTGTTATGGGGCAATGGAAGAAAACAGAGTCGTGACAATATTTCAGAAAGGAAGGGGATCCGAGAGTATCTAATATTTAATTTCAAGTCTGTGGTTTTCTAATTCGAGATTAAAAGCAGTCACGTCTTTGAAGCCAGACAGTTGGTATAAATGTACAGTTAAAATATTCTATTCCGCAGTCCCTAGACAGAGCTCTCTACTCGTCCCAGGCTTCATTAAATTTTTATTATCATCCCAGACTAGTGCAGGGAATGAGCGGAAAGACTGTCCATCTAATTGCAATTGATAAAAAAGGGAGCTCTTAGATCCCCCCCCTTGTTGTGATACATTAACAGCAGCTTTTTGGTATGGCTAGCCTTTCACACTCCTGTCACAAACACAATCACATTATCACACACACATACATTTTCTACTTTCCAACAGGCACCAGGTTTAGCCTTCTTCTCTGCCCTTTGGAAGGCCAGGGGGTTCAGTGAGTGTAGACAGAGAGAGGGTCGGAAGACTGGCTTCAGAAAGTGAAAAATTATATATATATATATATATATATATATCTCAGTTCTTGAAGCATCTGGCAAAACATCAACAAGAGACAACATTTGCACTAAGCTAGATCTTCCTGCAGCAAGATGAAAGCATATTGTTACCCAAACAAAACAAACAGATTATTAGACCAGGCTGCACTTTTCAACAGCTTTTCCACCTTGCAGGATGAAAGCAAGGCCAAGATTTTCATTTTATTTCTCTCTTTCTGACTGCTCCCCCCTCCCCATCCGGTTGCGAAGGAGAGGGCTCAAAACGTTTGTTCTTCTTCACCCTACTTCATGTGCTGATAATCTGACTGTCACACCAGTCGACCGTTGATTCCTATGCATGTGTGTTCAGGGACCCGATCTCAACAAGAGTGCTTTAAATTTTTTTTGAAACTGGTGTAAATAAAGCTTTTCATCTCCAGGCACTGAAAGTACAGAATAAAACCTCCAGTTTGCTTGCTGAGCAGCTTCCTATTATCACATTGCCACTTAATTTTATTTCTATTCTCTCCAAGTTAAATAGAAAGACTGGCTCACAGGGGAACTGCCATGTGCCTACAGACTGGGGATGTCAAGCAGCGAGACTCACTGTGCAAAGTTAATTTCAATTCCCGCGGAGGATTTCACATTCTGGCTGGCTCTGACCCACAGTAATTAGCTGAGATAACTAATGATTACTTACTTATTCCTTGTAATTATCTGGATTTAATAATTCGCTGTGTAATTTATTAATTCTCTCATAATAGACTTTCAGTACTGGGAATGGCTTCTTTAAAGGGGCAAAGGAGGGAAAATTTAGCAATATTTTTCTGATTGCCATAAATCTGTCTCCTGACAAATGTGGATTTCAGGAACATCCAGAAACCTTTGTCTTCCTTTTTGTCCTATCAGAACACCAATCCAACTTTTGCCTTCTGTTCCAGCCCCTCCCTTCAGGGCCACCTGCAAATGTAAAGTTAAGTTCTGAGTTCTAATGTGAATCATTTACCTAGAAACAGACACACTTCTGACTTTAGTATCATGTCTTTCTTAGAAAATTTGGAGTTTGCCTTCTTAGTAATATGTTTTATAAAATCGAGTTGTTTCAATACCTTTTCCACTATTGCCTCTAGACCTTGCCCAATGGATCAAAAAATTGTGATTTATTAGAAGTTTTAAATAAAGTATTTTACCGTTGAAATTCTAATTCTCTTGGCAAATAGAGACCACAGAATCTGTCCTTAATAGTAGAAAGCTTGGTTATATATTCTTATTTAGTTTTAAAACACATTTCATAGAAAAAAAGAAATATCAAAAGTATGCAACTATTAATTACTTTACTTGGTTTTTCATACTGTCATTATTTTCCCCAAGCAAAGTGTCAAAGAAACTTAGTATGACAAAGAATTGACCAACTGTTTATTTCAGATATTCAAAAGAAATTGCATTCTTTCTGGGTAATATAATATTGTTCTAAAGGATACCTAGTTATCAAGCAAAGATTGGCTGATTTTTCTGTTAGTGATTTATTCCATTTCCACTTGAATTCAAATGATTTACCTGAGTATTTTGAAAGTCAATGGCAAATGACGATTTTCAAAACATTATAGATCATTCTATTCTTACCTTTCATTTTTTTCTTTAAGACCAACTCTCTTCTCTCCAAATCTCTTTGGTATTGTATGTTTTTCAACTCTCACTTCTAAAATCTTTAAAAATATTTTTCGTTTTAAAGGTCTGATTTTCCCATAGATTACACATTTACACAGGCTCTGAGAAGGAAAATATTTCATTCTTGTAGGCAAGAAGTTTTTGTTTTGTTTTGTTTTGTTTTTGACCTTTTAATAACAGAAAAGATGAATTTAAAATGTGGTACAATTTTTTAAATCTAGGAACCTAAAACAAACAAAAAACTTGGTAAAAAATATGGGTTTCGATCTCAACTGTTGAGGTAAACATACAGTTGCTGTTACATAACTTCTTCAAAAAAATCATGGTCATGCAATCATGCATGAAATTATTATGTGCTTCAAAATTTACCAAAAAGAATAAATAACTCTTTTATTTTTGAGCAGCATATCTCTTGACTTGTACTAGTTTTACAAGATTTCTGTCTTCCCTCAAAGATGCCATATTTGAAAAAATAAGACAATAGCACAATTTATCTGTCTTCTCCCCAACTTATTCATCTTTATCTTAACATGCGCAACCTTCAATAAAATGCATATGGTCCTTCAATAAAAACCCACACATGGGAAGGGTTAGATATAACTTACTGAAAATCATTTTTATCTTAAATCATCAAATTTCATCTGCTACACATTCAAGATATTTCATTATTTTTCTCCACTCTGAAAAAAGGCAAGCAAGCAGAAAGTTCTTGGGCTGGTTAGAACTATTGCAGTAGTGCGGTCATGTGGTAGCTGGCCATGGTGCTGAAACGTATACTCCATATACTGAGATTGGAAGCGGGCAGTTTGAAAAGAATTTCAGGAAAACTGAAATAAGAATAAGCAGGGATATGGCCAAAGGAACTTTCAGCCTTCAAAAATACAGAAATAAAATGAAACACCAATTTTACTATATTTTAACTCAAAACTCTCTTTTAAAATCATGTTTCTGTGCTTCTAAGCAATGTATTTCACTATTTCTTAATGAACTCTTGGATATTGTTCTTCAGGGGTCTGCATTATTTCATTCATGGGGTAAAAAAATCCCACTGCTCATTCACCATCCAACTTTTACAACTATTTTTGTTGCAATTGGAAGTTATAATTGGTTTCTAACAGTATTTAATCCCAAATTGAACAACTATAATAATTTTTATTGAGTTCTGGGCTATTTTCTAACCTCCCTCCAAAATAATAAGCATCCCAAGGCAGTTTCATACCAGAAGGGTCACATTTCAAGTTATCAGAATTACCTTTGGATGATGGCCTGGTTACTTCCTCTTATTTGATGTACAGACTAGTATACTGTTTGCACATTAACTAGTACCATGACTAATTGAAAATATAATTATCTAAATAGAGCCTGACTGGAAAGATAAACTTTCAAAATCTAGTATGTTGCTCAGCTATAGTTATTGACATTATAAAAATGTGTTGGGGTGTCTTTAAACTAGGACCAGGAAGACAAATGGTCAGCGTTTCCTTGTGTCAATACTGAATCAGTAATACATAGACTTTAACCAGCTCTAGTGTCAGACTGAGTCACAGAAAGGAATAAAAATTTACTCCTCCTCCCCCCACTAGAACGTCTTCCTCACCCACACTCTGCCTATTACAGTAATATTAGTTTTATTAAAGATTATGGGAACTGGAGAGAAAGAGACAAGACAAGGTAGACTTTGTAAAACAGCAATCTAGGTGCTTCCTACAGTGGCTTGGATCTTTACAGGAGTGTGATTGAACTGAGAACTATAATGGGCTAGCCCCTGGTCCTCAACCTCGGCGCTCTCCAACCAGGCCTTGGGGCTTGCCATACCCAGTTTACTGGTGCTTCTGAAAAGTGAGATAAGTTCCCTTTTCCTTTTACCCAAGAGGTGGTAGACAGTGGGTATAATTGTTTCCATTCAATATCTGTTTAAAAGATTCTCTTTGTAGAATCATTGCAGGTCTGCAGAAAGAACTCCAAAGGAGATATTCAGAGGCAAATATCACAATTTCATCTGAGTAGATGAGCAAAACAATCTGTGATATGAGGTCGATATATTAAGAGGCTATTATAAATCCTTTTTATGCTCTCCCAGGGAAATATCCCTTACTAAGTCTAAACCATAGTTTGATAAAACCATACCCATTAAATACCAAAATGTCCTTCTACCTTTAGAAATCCCTCATCCAAATAATATCAACATAAATGATTAGAACAGCATCACATTTTAAAAGTCATTTAATATTAATAGCATATTTTAATGAAAAACAGCATACGTTGCCAATAAAACATTAAAATCATCTCTTCAATGAAAGACAATCAAACAACACCAAACATAACTTAATACATTACCATAATAAATAAACCATCTATTAACAAAAACAAGAAACCAGGTCATACACAGAACTCAAGACTTTGGAGAGCCTCAAATGGAACAATACAGCAAAATTTGTAAGAATATATCTATATGTGCATCATTTTGAATGAAATATTTACAATAAATAAGGTACCAGTCATTATGTACCTATTTTTTGTTTCAAAAAAATTCTACCAAACAATGTGAATTTACAAGCAGTGCACTGTCTTTCTTATAGTTCAATTTCATTTTTCTACAAACAAACCTCCAAAAGGAAAAATTGAAGGATTTCTATAAATGTTAAAATGTAGCCAATAGAGCAATTGAAAACTGGAAGATTGAAACACCTTGGTGAAATCTCAAAGTCTGGAAAGACAAGCACCAAGTGGGAAATGCACCTAAAGCTAGAAAATGATGCATTAGTCATGTTTCCTTTTGCTTCTTCTCTTGGAGATGTGTGTTTGTGAATGTGTGTACATGTGTGGGCGTGTAAGGGAGAGTGCCAGAGCGCGTGTGTAGTGAGGACAATGTGGGAATCCCCATTAAATAGGTAACGAAGTAAACAATACTTCGGACTGTGAATCAGATCTACACAATTAAGACATTCATTACTGAGTGTCAACTCACAAAACAGAACACTACCAGTAAAACCAAAAGAAAAATCTTCATTCAAAGTGAGAATATACAAATGGGCCAAAAGCAACACGGTGTAAGGAGAAAACTGTAAGTATTCAATAAACTCATCAAAGAAAAATTTTTGAACATCACTAACTATACGTTTCCCCCGGTTTTTATTTCTTTAGACTAAAGAAGTTTTAATTAATTAGAATGTGCACAAAATTAAGTTGCTAGAGAGATAAATTAATAATTTACAGAGGGTTGTTCGGCAATAATCTAATGATAGCTTTCAAGATCAGTGAACACAGCAGGCGCAACTCCTTTCTTTAGCATTAACACTTCAGAGAAGAAAGAAGGGGGTAAGAACCACGATAAAAAATATATATATATAATATACAGTGTAAATGCAGAAAATCTGCCATCTTTTTTTAAAATTGAAAATACTTTAGAGATGTCTCTCTCCCATTAAGCATCAACTCTAGTTTAAAGTTTCAGTCTTGAATCGATTTCTATTTCTGAAAAATAGCTGCAAAGTGTACTTTTAAACTTGGACAAGGATGATGTCTGTAAGAAAAAAAAAACAAATCTTACTTGCTCATTCTTGAGGACTTTTAAAAGGCTGTCTCCTGCTGCCCTGCCAACAGCCAGCTCCACACTTCCTCGGAAGAAGCTGAGGTGGGGCTCAAAGGGATAACTTCGCTGCAACATGACAGACCCCATCTTTTTGTTTTTCTTTGCTTTGAGAAACCGTTTCACATTTTCACTGCCTTGGGCTCGGTCGTTTTCCTGTGCGCTTGCTCTTCAATCCTCGCGGTCTCGGGATTCACATTTACCGGAATTGTTTCTGGTCCGCCAAAAGTGGAAAGAAAAGAGGCAGAAGAGGTGGGAAGGGGAGGAGGGGACGAGAAGAGGGTTTTCCCTGGAGACGCCAAGGGTCTCCTAAATGCCGGCGGAATATTTCATTCTTTTCTGTTTCTGCCTCTGGTTGCAGAACCAGACGCGCACCACGTTTTTCTTAAGATCCAGCTTCTCCGCGATGGCGGCGATCTTCTCCGAGGAGGGCCGGGGCTGGATGGCGAAGTAGGCTTCCAGCGAGCGCTTCTCGGGTGCGGCGATGGACGTGCGCTTGCGCTTCTTCTCCGCGCCGTTGAAAAGCTCGGGCTTGGTGAGCTTCTCGCGGTGGGATTTCTCGGCTTCCTCGAGCCACGCCTGCAGGATGGGTTTGAGAGCGATCATGTTGTTGTGCGACAGCGTGAGAGACTCGAACCTACAGATGGTGCTCTGGCTCAGAGAACCCACGCCGGGGATCTTGAGGTTGGCCAGCGCGGAACCCACATCTGCCTGGGTCACTCCCAGCTTGATGCGTCGCTGCTTGAAGCGCTCGGCAAACGCTTCCAGGTCCCGCGGGTCGGCGTCCACGTCGCTCATGCAACCCATGTGTGAGGGCAGCCCGTGCGCGTGGGCCATGCTGAGCGCGGCTTGGTGCATGGGGTTCATGGTGGCCATGTGGGGCGCGTGAGCGGGTGTGGACACCACCGCGCCGTCGGGGCCCGCCATGGCGCCCAGGGCCAGCCCGGGACTCAGGTGCTCCAGCAGCTCGCCCTCGAGCGCCTGGTGCGGCTGGTGGTGGTGGTGGTGGTGGTGGTGATGGTGGTGGTGCGTGCCGGCCAGCGCAGAGGGATGCGAGATGGGTACAGATGAGGAAGAGGCGGCCGACGTGCACGGGATGGTGTTCATGGTGTGGTAAGTGGCGTCCGGCTTGAAGGGGCTGTGGTGGGGCGGATGGTGGTGGTGGCTCTTGCTCTGAGAGACGATGTCCACGGCGGCCAGAGCCTCGGCACGGGCCAGCAGACTCTCATCCAGCCCGCCGAATATATTGCTCTGCAATTGCAAGTAGAAGGCACACATTACGCTCAGCAGGGAATTGTGCACGCTCTCTCCGGAAGCCCCGGCCCAGCTCCACACCTTCACCGCCGCGCCTACAACATTCCCAGAACGTTAAAATAATAATAACGGTTATAATCCTGCAAACAGGAGGTGAAGAGCAGAAAGAGAGATGCCACCGAGAGCAGCCGAGAGTGCAGGAGGAGGAAGTGAGCCTACAGACACAACACAACACAACACGCGCGCAGGCAACATCCCAGGTCATAAAAATTAATATGAAAGGCAAGACCCGCTGAATACTTAACAGAGAGAGAGGGGGGAAATTGGTTGGAGGTGTGGGGTGATTTGCTGTGCAGACATGAAAAAAACATCAAGCAGATAAAGGGGGCTGTCAAAATGTGCCTTTAAGCGGTGATTATGCAGAAATACGCACCGGTGGGGTTGGAAGACAAGCTCTCCGCATCGCCTCCGAACCCCCGCCGCCTCCGCCACCGGTGCCGCTGCTACTGGAGCTGCTGCTCCGGCCTCCGCCTCCGCCGCCGCCGCCGCCGCCGCCGCCGCCGCCAGCGTTGCCGGAGCTGTTCGGAGAGCTGGCCGAGGGCGCCGCGGGCGCCGAGGAGCCCGGAGAAGCGCTGTGCAGTGCGGAGTACTTGGGCTCCACGTGCAGGCTGCCGCCGTGCGGCATGCTGAACGCCTGCTTGCTGTTCAGCGACATCATCATCATCTTCCCGCCCTCCGGGGCGCTCGGGGGCCGCGAGCTCTCCGGCCCCAGCTGCGGGGACGCTCCCGAGAAGTGCTCGGCCGGAGCCGGAGTGTGAAAGGACAACGCAAAGTTGTGCTCCCCCACCGCCGCCTCCAGGCTCTGCACTCTTAGTGAGGGTGACACGCTCAGCTCCTCCGCCGCCTCTGCAGTCTGAGCCGGTGCCGGGCTCCGGGTGGCGCAGGCTACAGACCTGCGCGCCCAAAACTGCCCCGACTCATCCAGGCCGTGGAGTTATACGCCCTTCTCCCCGCGCCTGCCCCCGCGCCTCCTCCCTCCCGCCCCCGCGCCTCCGCCCTCCCCTGCCGGGAAGCACTAGCTCCCGCTCGGATGCTCGCGCACGCCCCTTCTCCCCTGTGCTCCCCCACCACCCGCCAGGCTATGGTCCTTTCAGCTCACCTGCACCCGCCTTCCGCTCCCTTGCCGCGCCCACCGCCTCCCAGACCCGGCAAGCGCTCTGATGTCGCCGCCCCTCTTGGCTCCCAGCGGCTCCTACTTACGCGCGCACCCCTTTCCAACCTCACCCGACGGGCCAGTTCCCTGCTTCAGTCACCTGGCAGTGCCTACCTAGGGGCCGGCCTCCAGCGCCTCCCACTTCTTCTGCTGGGTCTACACCTCTCTAGAAAGAGAAACTCCGAAATAAAGTTGCTGTCCAAGCCAGCCTTGACTAGGTTTTCCCCCTGGACTACTCAGAGTTGCTCTTACCTGGCTGCCTCCTCCCTTGCCTCCTGCTTACCACTAAGTTCCAGGCCTCCGCCCCCACTCGGCCCGCCTCTCCTGGGAGTTCAGGTGACCCGGATCCCGGGATCCTGGCCACTGCTGAGAACACGGACCCCACGGCCAGCCCCGCGTCTCTGCGCTGCTCTGAACTCCGGCCTTGATGCGCGCCGGGGTCGGCGCTCTGCTACCCGCTCCCTCCGCCCGGCGGGTGCCTGGTGCAGAAAAGACATGGGTCGGCGGGGCTGCAGGGCTTTCTCTCACTCGATTTCTCGCAGCTCTCAGCGGATTGGACAGCTGCAGAGCCGGCTCGGGTCGCCAGTGCGCATGCGATCCCCCTCACCTCCAATAACACCCCCACCCCGTCTCACACACACACACACACACACACACACACACACACATACACACACCTTTCACATCCTCTTCTCTTCCCTCTCCTTGTATCCAGAACAGTGTGAGTTGGGTCTTGGGAGGATCCACTGGCAAATCCTGCCTCTGGATTTATTATTCTTCATTAGCTACGATCAAAGGAAAGAAGGGCAACTGACAGAGGAAGAGGTGGGCCAGAAATTACAGAGCGCATGTGCTGCCGAATACCACAACACACACACGCGCGCGCGCGCATACACACCCTCGGGGGCTGGCGCGAACTCCACTTATCTTCATTTCCACAGCAGCTTCGCGCTGACAGGGCCTATTTTTAGCCAACACTTTGCTCGCACTTTTGTCCCAGTGCAGAACACTTTTCTCTAGAAGTGGACACACAGTTCCAATTGCAAAGCATGAAGACAAGCCCCCACCCCCACGCACGCAAGCACACACGTACAAACATATCATCTTCTTTCATGCTCCTATCTTCTCTCTACTTTCCCTGCTCTCGGGGACTGCTGCTGTCACCTCCCTAGACCGCGGAAGGCGCGGGGCTCAGGCAAGGGTGAGAAGGCCGGCTGACCTGGACGCAGGAACCCGCGGGTGGCCAGACCCGGACAGGGGAGACCGGGAGCAGGTGCAGGCACTGGGAGCTTGGGGAAGACGAGCAGGTGTGAGAGCAGGCGGCAGGCCTGAGAGGCGCTGGCGCGCGCTAGGACAAAAACAAAGTGGAAAAGAGTGTGGCGAGGAGGGACCCTCGGGTGGTCAGCACCCTGAAGCACCGCGGTGGCAGCGGCTAATAGGGGTCTTCTAGTCCACCCCTGACCTCAGCTGGGCGGGACAGCGTGCTCCAGCAGGGAGCGTTGTCCTCAGGAGCCGCGGGAGTAAGTACTTGGAAGGCTGCAGCAATAAGCGCGCTGTGGGCTCTGTCCGTGGTCCTTAAATCTCTGTAGCTTTCGGTCGTCCTTCTCTGGCTTACCTTTCTCTTTCCCTATGCGGAGACAAATAGTAAATAGTAGCCAGGGGGCATTCCTGCAAGCAGCGTTTCCGGGTATGAGGTTGGAGAAGACTGGACACGGGACCGGAGAGGGGGGTGGTGACATGCATGAACATGACTTGGGCCGAGCAGTTCAAGTAAGTATGTAGGTGCTTCATTTCTATCTCAGGGAGAGCCGGGGTAATTTTCAAGGAAACAACAACAACAAAATAACATTGTACAGCTCTCCCCGTCTCAAGCTTCTCGAAATGAAATAAATCAAAGTTAAAAGCCTGAGTATCATTTAATTATAGTGCGAATAGCGCTTTGAAAGAAGTAGAACAACATCTCTAAACAAATTATGACTGGGCCAGGAAGGAATTATTAGATTGAAATTTCATTTAGGCTCGGGAGACACCGCGCTTCACTGTGTAATCTGCTATGCCTCGTCTGATTTGTATGCTTAATTCAGCTTGACGAATTTATTAGTTTTCATAATAGTGAAAAAATTGAGCTGCACTATGGGCTAATGCATTGTGTGTACTATAAATTGTATGTCATCGTGGAAAGGCTGAAGTCTATAGAAATCTTTTATTAATGTCGGTGTAAGGGGGGATTTTCGTACAAGCCTTGGAGAGGTTCATACCAAACTCCACGGCTGCTCTGTCTCCCCGGCCCATTAACATATCGTCATACTAATTAGACCACTTCATCAGTGTTATAATTTCAAACTTCAAATTATGTTCTAATTAACAAGGGTTGTCCAATTTGCTTAATCTTCAAAAGGCTTTGGATGATCTAATTAGTATAAACTGTTGAGCATCTCAAAAGCCTAATAAAAATCCATAAAATTCTTTTGGGTATGTTTTCTATCAGTACTGTGTAAGAGCCAAGGTGAGAATAAAAGAAGAAAATAACAGCAAGACAAATGATTTCACCTACCTGCTTTCCCGGATTGTTAGAGTGAGTGAATCACGGAAGAAACTTTTAGGTATTGCAACCTCTAAATAGTGTGTTTATGTGTTTAAGTAAAGGCACAAGAATACCAAGGAGAAAAACCACATGGGGAAAAATTCTTCTCTTTCATTAGGTGCCTAATTAGATGTAAAATAAAAAGCAACCCTAAGGAGTTTCCCAAGCATTATTGTGGCAACAGTCTGCTGAACTTGAATTGCAAAATCAAATATTTGGGGTGTTTTGAACCTCTCCTTGTCCCCTCCTCTTTCATTCAGCTTAATTACTTGCAATAGTTGTTTTAATGTATGTTGTCACCTGGGAGTATTGAGAAATGCATATCGTTAATATGAATTAATCTTGATTTTAATAGCAACTGACAACTGATCTCCAAAATGCTAAACACTTGTCACCACTTCATATGGTAAATAAGGTAATATAATAAATTCATGTAATAGAGAGGGCACTGTTAAAATGATTGGATAAACTTTGTTTGATGTAGAATATATTGAATAAAACTATTTTAAGAAAACTCTCATGAAAATATTTTCTTGATGATTAAAATCATGTCATAAAATTAACCTTAACATAACTTCTTTATATCTCACATATTTCTCAGTGATATCTCTAATTCCAGGAAAGAAAAAAAAAACACTTTGTCTTCTAATTATCAAGTTGAGGTAAATTAATATGTGATTGTGGGCAATTCAGGAGTTTATTTACCTGTATTTCCTTCCCCTAGAAAACACATACATTTTTAAAAAGTCAAGTCAGAGTTTGAATTCTTTTTCCATTCAGAGTGAAAAATGAACAGCGATTGTGTTGCATTAGAGGGAAAATGCAATTCTTCGTTCATCACCACTACTTGCAGTCTTGCAATCTCTCCCTTCAGGAGTGTCCAGAATACCAACATCCTTGCAGTGATATCAATAAAACCCATTTCAGTTTTGCCCACAGGCATTGCTGCAAAGTGCTCCAGTGAGTGTGAAAGCTGCTCTTAGAGGAAGAAAGAGTCCAGCCCCCTAGTTAGCAAAGGCCATCTAAATAACTAGAAAGTTGGCAACAAACCCAAGGGGTGGAAGCAGATGGCCCCACCTCGGAAACCGGCTTCCCGTAACCCCAGCGTACCCTTGCATGAGCAAGCTCCCCTTCACATTTGTGCCTTTCTCTACTCCTACAGACCTACCTAAAGGGAAAACAGGAGAAAAAAATTCTTTAAAAGCAGAGGTGTGGGAGGGGAACAGATCAACTGTGTGATTGCAGGAGTCTTTCTTCTCACCAAGCCTCTTTGTTTGACAGTAGCTTCTGTCCCATCCACCAGCAGAGGCGGACAGATGTGAACCACTTCCCTCTGGCGAAGAGGAGTCCACCAAGGCTTCCTAGCAGTGGGGTCCCTGAAGTAGGTGCCCCCAACCCAGAAATCGACCCATGCCCAAAGCCATCCCAAGGGGAGAAATCACTGTCTCCTCCTCGTTTCTGGGTCCTACTTTACTATTAAAATTTTAAACACTGCATTCATATTTTACTCTACCTAATGTGTTTTATTAAAATTTAATCTATTAAGGGTAGTGTGATTTCTTTGTATTTCAAACAGAATTGAATTGGACTACAAGAAAGATTTTTCAGAAGACAGATCTGGCCCTATTGTGCACAGGCAGGGAGCAGACGGGGATGGTGGAGGAAAGAGGGGATGGCTGGATTCACTCTCTGGAAATCCATTGCTGGGATTTCCAGGAGGTGACCAATCTGCTTCAGGTTCTTAATGGAAGATGAACTCCCATGAATTCTGGGGTGTTTTCCCTGGATTCTGTGGCTTAAGGCAGAAAGGGGGTTTGTCCATGGAGGAAGAGGTGAGGACTTAAACTCCTACAAGGCCCACATTGTCCTATGAAGAAAAAAGAAGAGGAAAATGGAACCTACCCTCATAACTGGGAATTTTGGAGATGCCTAGATAACCAGTCACAGAATGAAG